AACGTTAACGTTAACTTAACGTTAACGTTAACGTTAACGTTAACGTAACGTTAACGTTAACGTAACGTTAACGTAACGTAACGTAACGTACGTACGTACGTACGTACGTACGTACGTACGTCGTACGTCTACTCTCTCTCTCTCTCTCTCTCTCTCTCTCTCTCTCTCTCTCTCTCTCTCTCTCTCTCTCTCTCTCTCTCAACTGCTTGAGTGCGAAAGTTGTGAGACAGCAATACACGGTCTCAAACTCAACAGATATCGTTTTCTTTTTTTTGTCCTATTTGTTGGCCAGCTTAATTAATTGAAATGGCCATAAAGTTTCAGTGGAACCAATTTCACTATATTCTTTGAATCCAAAATCTAAAAAACACAAATCGATTGAATTAATACATCTAGAAGTACCACATCAAATTCCCAATATGCAATTTACTCTTAAATGTGACATGAAAGGTACAATTCTGTAGCAAAGAAAAAAAGAAATTGAAAAAAGTAAAATGATAACTTGCATTATGTAGCCATTGCATAATTGAAATTGGACAACCCAAGTTTTGAAGCCACAAATCAACTTCACCATTATAGGTCCATCAGATAATTGAAATTGCACAAACCCAATTTTTGAAGCCACAAGTCAACTTCACCATTTTACAAGTTCGACTTACAAAGTAGTCACCATTACACAACGTACTAGACAATTCATAGAAAACTTCTTAATTCTTCATAGATCCTAATGCTCAATTTTCCTTTTTTTATATCTTAGAATCAAAGAGGGTCCCCCTTTCATATGATACCAAGGAAAATGAAACTTGGAACCAATATAGCATATAAAAAACTGAAAAAAAATAAAAAAGAAAAAAAGAAAAAAAAAGAAAGAGAAAGATATTTTCTATGTTGCATACTGTCAAAAAAAGGAGGAGGAAACAATGTGTAATTATTTCTTTAATTTTCGAGTCTTTATTACTATAATCTTATAAAATCACCATCCCAAAATGTGAGCAAAAACTAGTTTTTATCCACAGTCGAGTCATCCAAAACGGATGCTTCCTACTCGATTTGCGTCTTGAAACTGGAGCAACATCACTATCATTCAATGCCTTTGTGGAACAAGAAAATCCCCAAACTAAACCTAAACGAAGTGAGGAATTAAAAAATGGTTCATCCTAATCACCAATAAAATCCTTCAATTCAGGAGATAAAAAATGGGGGAGAGAGAGAGAGAGTTATGATTAAAATTTCAATCCAATTCAAAACAATAAGAGAGAGATAGTTGAGTTTGAACTCAAATTCAAGGTTAAAAAAATCATACATAGGTAAGAGAGAAGGGGGAGCGTATAAACTTCAATTGAATTCTATGAACAAAAACTCAAAACCTATTAACATCAACAAAGCACAAAAAAGTACAGAGAAAACACAAATTTTACAGCAAAATCGTCCAAAAACTTGTTACCGGAAACGTGATGTGCTTCCTTAATAAAGCGTCAGCTTGAGTAAAGAAAGTTGCGGGGCCCTGAGAAGAACCCCTGCTCCTCCCATAGCTTCTATCCACCTCCCAACCCAAAACCCAAACCCAAAAAAGCCCTAAAAATACAGCCCTTCAATCCTCAAAAACCAAAGACAAAAAACCTCCGGTTTTTTTTCCCGCGAAAATCACAGACCACAAAATTCGATTTTCAACGGTCGGTAAAAGCTTATCTGTGTATGTAACATACATGGGAAAATACAGAATGAGACCATTTGACCTTTTCATCTCGTCCCAATAATCTTGATTGATGTAAAGTTGGGTGGTTGCAATTATTCCATTACCAACGTGAAATTTAAAAATAAATTTTTTTTGAATTGAATTTTATGGCACATCAATCTATCAAATTTTATGTCAATTATAAATTATGATTGCCTTGTATTAAAGGTAAATGATATCATTGTATATAAAGGAGTGATTTGTATAGGGCCCAAGCTCTAAACAATCAAATTAGAGCCTACCTTGAACTAGTGTCGAAAAATGTGGTTTTAATATTGGAAATCTTTATGATAGCCTTAAAATATATTTTATATTTATTTATAAAGCTTAAAATTTCAAAAATAGTATAGATCGACATATTTATGAAAACTTGAAAATCTAAAAAATTGACAGTCCAAAAATGCATTATAAAATACACTATTTTCAAAACTTGAAATCCATTTTGTACTCATGTCCATACTTCTTGATATCGAGATGATCAATTTGAAGATATTTAAACATCAAAACAACCTCTTCTAGTGAAATTTTTGAGATAGACTCAAATTTAATTGTTTAGAGCCTCAGTATAAACTTTTCCCTCATATACAATCCCAATATTTGGAGCTCACAAAGTACCCGATAGGAAAATATATGAGAAAGTATGGGCAATCCACCGTTCGATCTAATCAACAGATGGTGATGATGGACCATTGTCCAGTTGTTAAGTCTTGACTTGGATTTTGGATGGTCAGTCAAAGCACCCAATATTGTCATGTCCATTGGATAGATTGGGATAAAAAGTCCTTTTATTATTTTAGGTTTTTGCCCAAAGATTTGATGCTCCTGTGGGATGATATATTATCTATTTACTTCCCCGGGTAAAACTCAATTTGGGGGTAATTTTTTTAGGACCCCAACACTTGGGTTGTGAACCCTTCAACCCATAGACTGATTTAAACAAAAAACAGCTTCTAAACCAACTCTCTATGCACTTGAAAACAGTAATGTATCAAGAGTTAACTAAGACTGTAAGTTTTTGAAGGTGAGATCTAAGTGCTATGAAGCTCAAAATTTAAAATTCTTTCATCTTATAATAATATCTATTGATTCTCATGCGTCTCTCAAAATTTCAAACTGCAAAATCGTCCCAAATATTCCTTCTCACTGAGGGAGTAAGTATACAGCTCTTTTTTTTTTTTTCTTTTTTGCTTTAGAATTTATTATTAGACACGGTTTCTATGAGTCTCTAGACTCACGTGTATATATGTGGGCTCCCATAATAATCCATTTTTTAAATGGATTTTGAGGAATATATAATCCCTAACATGAAGATTCTTAATGTGTAAAAAAATAAATTTTAAAAACTAAAAAGATATTTTGAAAGAAATATTTTAACCATTGATTTTTTTTTTCTTGGGAGGGACCATCATTTATAACCATCGGATGGATGCAGGGGATGCACATATAGGAATCCATCCCCCAACACATAAAACACATTTTCCTCTATTATTTGGTAAGTGATGTGAATCAAGGATGATCATTTGAGAACTTTAATACTGCATAACTAAATGTACAACTTTAGTCTTATGGACCATCATACACCCACCACGCACCATATTAGCAGGATTACAAAAGACAAGGCAGCCCTAGTTGCCCCTGTTTTGTAACATATGTTTATGTACAAGTATCACAAACTTATAAAAGTATTTGAATCGTCCACTATACTACATGTAGTACATTGTTGGTGCCCCAATGGATGTTTTTTGTTTTTTGTTTTTTGTTTGTGGGTAATTCAGTGTGGAAGATATGCCCCTACCCATTATTTCATAAAGATCAGAAAGTTAGTTTTTTCGAGAGTGTTATTGGGTGGTGTTAACAGGATTGGAAACCACAATGTGATAACTAAATGTGGGGTGCTACCACCACAACCCAACGGATGGTTGAGATGCAAGAGTTCCTTATTTGAGTGGGTGATGACAGGGTGGCATAGTGGTTCATCTCTACCCTCCATAGCTGAGTAAGACCAGTGTTTGAAAAATAGGGCCGATGGGTCAAACCGGGTACGCACATATTATGTGTCAAACTGGCCGAGTCGGCAAATTGGCTCAACCAACTCAGCCAAATTAAAGAAAATAAGTTTCTAAAAATGGTAAGAAAAATTTATAATCAGTCTAAAAACTATATTTTTACAATTAATAAACTTCTTTTCATTTCCAAATAAAATGAAGTTCTTTTAATATGATTTCTAGGTGTACTAGGCATGTCCCAAGTTGGTGAGAAAATTGGACCCTACAACTTTTCATTCCACTCGGACAGTTATGAGTCGATAAATCCTTTAAGCACTATCAAGGACCGTGAGTTTAACTTTTAGCATACCTACATATCAGCATACTGCATTTAGTATGATATATTTCCAATACAAAATGACTACTTGTTTGGGGTAGGGAGTTTTTTTATGTCATTGTGATCTATAACCACCAGCATTTCGTCAAGTATAGCTATGTCTATGTGGCTTGACTTCTTGGGGCAACTTAATGGTTCGCATGACTAAATATAAATATTCCAAATGACTAAATATATATATTCCAAATGAGTTTTAGATCTCATGCATCAAGTTGCTTTTTAACAACTGTATGATTGTTCACTTTTGGTGTAGGTTATATTCTTTCATAGCCATCAGATATGAAATTTGTGTTAAGAATCGTCGCAACTGTCATTATATTGGTTGATCGGTGAAGTATGTACTGAGTTAGGAATTTGACCTACCTCTTAGTTCAATATCTATGTTTTCCTGTGGTAAAACAAAATCTATTTATAACTTTATTAAAAATAACAATGAGGAATATAATTGAAAAAGTAAACTCTCCTTTTAGCGAATGAGTCTGGTTTGCATAAGGCCTAGGTCCTAAACGATCAAAGTAAGGAGCATATTCAACTAGTATCGAAAGATATTCTTTCAATACTGAAAATCTTTGTAATGGCCTAAAAATTTGTTTACATCTCAAATTATAAGATTTAAAGCTTCAAAAATAGTGACGATTGAGCATATCTATAAAAACTCAAGAAGTCTAGAAAATTAACTGTCTAAAAAATGCATTACAAGATGCACTATTTACAAGACTTAAAATCTATTTTTTCTCATGTCCGGTCATCTTGAGGCCGAGATGATCAATTTGAGGATTTTTGAGCATCAAACAACTTCTTGTAATGAATTTTTAAGGTGCGCCTTAATTTGATTGCTTAAGGCCCCACCCTTATACAAACTTTTTCCTTAACTAGTATATTCTCTCCTATTTTATAAGTTGTTTAACTCATTACCTAATTCCTCAAGGATTTTATATGTTAGAAATATTTCAGAAAAAATAGAGTTATAAAAAATATGCATGACAATGAAAAAGAGAGAGAGCTCAATCCTCATAGTGGCCTGTGATCCCTCCTTCCTCTTTTCTTCTCTTACACTCTTTCCCTTTTCTTTTTCTTTTTCCTTTTTCTTTTTTTTTTTTTTTTTTTTTTGAGGTGTGTGTAGGGTCCCTAAACTAGGGGCGTGTGAGCTGGAGTTATGGAAACATATAAAATAAGTGATAGTGTACAAAAGATAACGCTAACAGACAACTAAGGAAGGACAGTCAGTTAAGTTAGGGCATCACATACCTAGTAACAAACACCAAAGTTGTCAACTATGGAATATAATCCAGAACTTGTTGACACAAACATTAATAAGCTGCCTATGGTCAAAGAAACAAAAATATGTTTGGGATAAAGTCAAAGATAATCCATAAATATAAATGTTTTAGGTTCATATGAGGTTCCCTCTTTATACTGTAAAAGTAGAGTGCACCTTTTAATTTTTCCTGGATATGCAATTTGGGTGTCAGAAATCTGACGATGGCGTAAAAATCTATTTTCATCCTTATTTATAAAACTAATTTTTTTGAAAATAATATAGATCAAACATATCTATAACTTGAAAGGTTTAAAAATAGACGGCTTTGATAATTTGTTACAAGATGTACCATATTTAGGACTTAATTTTCTTTTTTTTTTTGAATATACCTGTATCTCGAATCAAGAGTCAAGATATCAATTGAGTGGGTTTTAGGGCTGGATTGGATGGGGTCATTGTTCCTATTACTAAATGCCCACTTAGTGGTCCTTACTCCTAACTAGGGTGGCAATGGGCCAAGTGGCCCAGCCCGAGCCGCCTAAAAAACCGAGGGCCTAGGCCTAAAAATGTGGCCTGAGTGCTAAGCCACCATGGCCAGCCCTGGCTACCAAATCAAGTGCCAAATCCCAAGGATCAGGCAACTTAAACATAAAGTAATATTCCCCTTGTAACTACTTCCGTTTGTAATTAATAATAGTTATGGTGAATGTTAAAAAAAAATAAAATGTAATGTGATAAAGCGTGCCTCCATGTTGCTTCTATTTCTAATATTTAAAAATCATCAAAACAAGCATAGAGGTTAATGCTGAAATGACCAAGCAACCAAATCAAGTGCCAAATCCCAAGGATCAGGCAACTTAAACATAAAATAGTATGATAAAGCATGCCTCCATGTTGCTTCTATTTTTAATTTCTAAAATTCATCAAAAACAAGCACAAGAAGGGATCTTCAATTTTTTTACCATGGCCCAAAACCCAAGTCTACACTACTAAGTTAAACTTAATTGCACCTAAGTATTCGTATTTTTAGTTAAATAGATAATGTTTTCTAATACTAAAATTAAATGGAGAATATTCTCTCAATCCTCTAAATAGCAAGCATACACTACATGGGAACTTATAAATATGATTTGCAACAAAATAGAAAGATTTGTCCCTATCCAACCCTTCATTCAGTACTATTTTATTCTATTTTTCTACAAAGCATTATGATACCAAATCCTGGGTATCCACTCCTATATTAAACTTGCACGTATAAAAAATATAGAAAAAATATTATCAATAAAATAAAATGATCGAAATACCTCT